ATGTAATTATGAATTAATTCTCAGAAGGACACAATGAGAGTCTACAATGGCACCACCAAAAGGACAAGCCTCTTTTTTTTGTGAAAAGAATGGTGCTAACTCTCTACATAAAGGCTCTCACTAAAATTCCTTTGAATCCATCCCAGTCTCATACATAGGCACTTCAAGTTGGAAGGAAATTTGAAAGTCAACTGGTTTGACTATCAGATGCTTAAGTCCTTTCCACAATGTTTCTACACTTAAGTACCTAGGGAATGCCTAAGTGCCCACAGAACAAAACATCTGATACCACTCAAAGCAGCTTATTTTATTCTTTGGGGAACTCTGATCTTTTCGAAGGACTTTCATATGCTTTGCTCAACTCTGTCTACAAGTCTCGTTCTTCCCTTACACGTTGTAGCTATACAAAGTCTTCCACAATAGTTCTTCAAAAACATAGGCCCTGAGTCTCCTCTTCCACAGAAATATCAATATTGTTACTTATAAAAACAGTCTAAACTGGATAGACAAATGTAAAAGACTGAAACTGGACCTGCATCTTTCTCCATTCACTAAAATTAATTCAAAATGGATAAAAGATCTAAATCTAAGGCATGAAACAATAAAAATCCTCAAAGAAAGTGTGGGGAAAACACTTGAAGGTATTGGCCTGGGGAAAGACTTTATGAAGAAGATTCCAGTGGCAACTGCAACACACAAAAAATAAACAAATGGAACTTAATTAAACTGAATAGCATCTGCACAGCTAAGGAGATAACAACCAAAGCAAATAGACAACCATCAGAATGGGAAAAGACATTTGCATACTATGAATTGGACAAGAGCTTGATAACTAGGATCTACAGAGAACTCAAATTAAGCAACATAAAAAGAGCCAACAATCCCTTATATCAATGGGCAAGCGAGATGAATAGAACCTTCTCTAAAGAAGACAGATGAATGGCTAACATATGAAAAAATGCTCACCATCCCTAACTATCAGAGAAATGCAAATCAAAACCACCATGAGATATCACCTAACCCCAGTGAGAATGGCCCACATCACAAAATCTCAAAGCTGCAGATGCTGACGTGGATGTGGAGAGAAGGGAACCCTTTTACACTGCTGGTGGGACTGCAAACTAATATAACCTTTTTGGAAGGAAGTATGGAAACTCCTCAAAGAAATCAAA